GTGTGTGTGTGTGTGTGTGTGTGTGTGTGTGTGTGTGTGTGTGTGTGTTTAGCCTCGCGGCAGAACTTTCCCCCTGCTGGAAGGCCCTGACAGCCAGGAGACCGAAGAGGACAAGGAGTGCGTCATCACACCCAGCACCAGAGTGCACCCCAGRGCTGGGCTTCGTGAGCGGAACCGGATCAACTTTATGAGAAACTACCTGCTCCTCATCGGTACTGCGCCATTCAAGAAATGGGTTTAGATTCTTGTCTAGTTTTCACGCTGTATTTCAACATTGTGAGGAAGAGGAGTCTCGGCTCTTATGTTGATGTGCCACGGTTTGATGTGAAGATGGACTTGAGTTAAATTTGTTTCATGTGGCGGTTTCACTCAACATTTAACCACATGGAAACTTTCAGTGAGGTGTTGTACTGAGGCTGCCCTCTGCTGGAGGATAAATAGAGTTGCACATTTTGTTCAACACTTGTCAGATTTTAATTAATCATGAAGCTTTAAATGTTTGTAAAATGTATGCAAAACTGTTCTGTGTGGTCTGTATTTGAATTTAAGTTATTACCAACTCAAACCACTGTTTGTCCACTCTTCAAATGTCACAYTGAATCAGTACAATATTCCAGCTCTCCTAGCTTTTTATCTCACCAGCTTTAAACGTAAATTATTCTGTCTTCTCTATTTCACAAGTTGGAAATTAAAGGTTTAATAATAATTTTTAGTTTGTGCCCAGTGTTTTACCAGCTGCCTGGATGTTACTTCATCAGATCATGTAACAGCCCAGCTCGCTAYAGTCTTGACAAGAATGTACTTGAAAGATGCAATAAGAGAACTGACGAGGAGGATAAAGAAAAAAAAAGAAAAGTAATCAGTTTAAAGCTGGTGTGAGCTCTCGAGTTGTTAATGCACWGCTTTTGGTGAAGTCAAGTGGCTCTTTTTAATTCAGCAGAACTGGCTGCTCTAAAAATTAACATTTTGTATAGTTTTTTTATTTTRAATCAGGTTTATTGTCTTTATGTGGTGTTTTTATCAAAGCTATGTTACAGTCAGTGACTAAAAGGTGTAAAATATCTGTTTTAAAACATTACTAAGAGTGTTTGGTTACTTAAAAACATTTCTTTTGCTTAGTTTTTTTTTTCTTTCTGCGTTTCAGGTCATCATGAGACCCCCCCTGATGCTCACATGAAGATTCTGGAAAAGTTCCCTGACAGCCTCCCTCGTAATGGAGGCAACGTCATCCCACCAACAACTGACAAGAAAGTAGAGGAGGTCTGCGTTCGAGCTTTTATTTGTGGCTTGTTTTAAATTTTTTTGTAGATGCATTTAACAATTTTTGTACGTTTCTGCATTAACTCATATGCTGTCTTCATTTCTGTGGCCTGTTTGTTTGTTTTGTAGAAGGTCAATGACAGTGGTATGGATGATCGAACATCTATCCAGGAGCCTGGGACTCGGACGCTGCGTCCAGAGGCCCCTGTGGACTCCATGCTCAAAGACATGGCCAGTATTATCTTCTCCACTTTCCTCTTGGCTGGCTGGGTGGCTTTTGTTATTATCTACCCCAAAGTAAGTCAAATAAAACCTTCCTGTGTTTGGTTAATGCTTTATAATGATAGATGATGATAATATTTCAACTCTAAGCACAAAAATGGATTTAAGTTGAATTATTTGTCATCTTTAAACAACAAAAATTAATTTGAAATTAAGAAATTGTCATTTAACCTGAGGACTTAAATGCTTGTGTGTCTGCTATTTATAACCTCCGTATAAAAATTAGGGCTGGGCAATTGTTTGATTGTGATTATTGATCAGGAAAAAATTAAGGTCAATCACGGTGATCAGCTGTGAGCTTCTTCCTCGATCAAACATGGCGGAAATGTGCGCGACAACAGCCAATCAGAATCCACCTTCTCCTGCTCCACTTCCTTTTATAAGTTTCTAATGAAACGCAGACAGAATCGCAGAATTAACCAAAGTAATCCAGTATAAAATGCTGAATCTCGGAGTTTGCTTATTTTGGCGAGCTTCTGAGGTATTTTGGCTGCTGTCGTTTCCTTTTCCTGCTGTTACCTGCTAACAGGCGTGCGAGGTGTCCCTCTCCCGACACCCAGAAAGAGAGAGAGAGAGGGGGGTAAAAAGGAAAGTGAGCATGGCTCACTAAAACAAAAGCCTCCTCCAAAAATATGAAGCGGTCTTAGGGTAACGTTTAGAACAGAACAATGTCCCAGCAGATCTTCATTTATCTGGAGAAGAACTTTTCTGTAAGTTTTTGGGCTGGACATGARGTGAAGACCACTTCCTGTCTGAGTCTCATCACAAACAGRGGCTGAGAGACGCTGCAAACTCCATAACAAAAGTAATGAGCCTGGATCTTATTCAGCTGGCAAGTGTGCACAAATTGTTGCTGTTTGTAGCTTTATGTTTCTTTATGACATATTTAATGTGAAATTCAATCAATTTTTTTTACAAAAGAATAACTTTAATGTGACATTCTATGATTTACACACACGTTTTTTTCTTGGTAAATACCTTTTTTTTAACACCTTGCAAAAATAATTTCATGTTCTACTGAACCACAGCTATTTGTTATATTGGTAAAAGTAAAATAACAGCCATTTTTTAAATTTCTGTAGCTATTTATTTGTTTATTTGTTAAATTATTTTTCAGTCACTTTGTAGGTAAACAAAAAAATTGTGATATCAATCGAGATCAGACGATATGAAAAAATGAATCGTGATCATTTTTTTTTGCCATATCGCCCAGCCCTAATAAAAATACTACATGGACAAACGTTTGGGATAACACTAAATCATGCACCACAAACTTCACAAAGTAGAGGTTTTTTTTCTCTGAGCTGTGAATGTGTTCTCTGTTCAGAGTGTGCACAAGCAGCAGCAGCTGCAGCACCAGGAGTTCCAGCGGCAGATGGAAGAAAGGTTGGAGCTGCTCCAGAAGCAGCAGCCCTTCTCCCCGGCAGACGTGGGGTCTGCAGAGAGCGACTACCTGGAGGTGACCCGCGCTCGCTCCGATTGCTCAGACCACAGCAGCCCTAACGTCACCCCCCGAGCCTCCAACCACTCCAACATGTCTGTGTCAGAGCTGGGGAGCTCAGCCAATGAGCACGAAGAAGGAGGTAAGACTGATATTCATGTCTGCGTTTTAGAGACTCGAGTTTTGTTGTTTTTCACCATCTTAAATTTGTCTTCTCAGAGGATGATTTCAATGTTGTCAGAGTGGGCAACATAACTTTCCATCCAAAACACGTCCTGGGCCACGGCGCTGAGGGAACTATTGTGTACAAGTAAGTGAACGAGGCACAGCAGCTTTAAACTTTAATACAAAGACAAACTCTTATTATGACGTGTCTTCATAAGGGGGCAGTTTGACAACCGTCCAGTGGCGGTGAAGAGAATTCTCCCAGAGTGCTTCAGCTTTGCAGACCGAGAGGTTCAGCTGCTCAGAGAGTCTGACGAGCACCCGAACGTGATCCGCTACTTCTGCACGGAGAGAGACKGGCAGTTCCAGTACATCGCCATAGAGCTGTGTGCTGCCACACTTCAGGAGGTGATTGGTGGTTTCAAAGTCTCAAATATTCTCTTTTTTTTAACAATACATTTAAAATTGTACAAAAGCTTCGTTAAAATGAGTTTGGGCTAGAATTGATCCTGCTAAATTTTAACTTTTCTATGTGAAACTGAACAGCCTTTTATAATTTTATTATCTTTCACTAATTAGTATGTGGAGAGAAAGGATTTCAGTCATCATGGACTTGAGCCCATCACTCTCCTGCAGCAGACCATGTCAGGACTAGCCCACCTGCACTCCCTTAAGATAGGTACTCATCCCTGAAACGTAACAAACTACTTTCACAGTCCCTTTGTCTTTAGTTATGGTTTGTTGCTGAACTATGTCCTTGTCTTCAGTCCACAGAGACCTTAAACCTCACAACATTCTGGTGTCCATGCCCAATGCACACGGCAGAGTCCGGGCCATGATCTCAGACTTCGGCTTGTGTAAGAAGCTGGCAGTGGGGCGTCACAGTTTCAGCAGAAGGTCCGGGGTTCCCGGCACCGAGGGTTGGATCGCTCCTGAGGTTCTCAGCGAGGACTTCAAAGACAATCCAGTGAGTCAGTGATAAAGTTACAGATTTATCACAGCTGATTTGAGCATATTTTTAGTTGTCAGTGTTCATAAACATCATAAATGCTCAGTTATTTGCACTTGATTGTCTTTATTTTTATTTTTATAGCGAGTCGAAGGGTTTCTTCTCATCCTAAGAATTTCATTGCAATGTTGACTCTTGCTAGCCTGTATATGACAATAAATGAATCCTATCCTAACCTAACCTATCCTATCCTTGATTAGACATTAATGTTGTGGTACCAAACAGCATTATTTTTGTGACCTTGAATGTGCTGCTCTTCTGTTTCCCGCAGACTTGTTCAGTTGATATCTTCTCCGCTGGTTGTGTCTTCTACTACGTGGTGTCTCAGGGCAAACACCCATATGGCAAATCTCTGCAGAGGCAAGCCAACATCCTACTGGGCACATACAGCCTTGACTTACTGCAAAGCAACAAGCATGGTATTTTATTTTGCTTTACAAAAATATGCTCCATCTTGATGTAATTAAGTTGTTGTTGTTTTTTTGCCAGTGCACATCTAAGACATTTGATAACACTTAAGGAGCACCTTTTCAAACGCAACGTGTTTTATTTTTATTTTTTTCTCTGTAGGGGACATTGTAGCTAAAGATTTAATAGAACAGATGCTGAGCATGGATCCTCAAAGAAGACCTTCAGCTGAAAGTGTTCTCAAACACCCTTTCTTCTGGAGTCTGGAGAAAGAGTTGCATTTCTTTCAGGTACGTTATGGGTTCTGCTCAGTCGTCTTGAAAATGAGATGCATGTAGGTTATTATACAGATATTAATAGAGAAAAAAAACAAATTAAATTTTAAGTTTTCACAGTCTCAAACAGCGTCAACATTGCATTTTAGTAGCTTAGTTTGCATTTTTATATTTGCGAATGAGTCATGTATTTATTTTTTTTCTTTAACCAACATTTATTTTCTGTGGTTTGCAGGATGTGAGTGACAGAATAGAAAAAGAGCAGCTGGATGGACCAATCGTGAGACAGCTGGAGAGGGGAGGGAGYGCTGTTGTGAAGGGTGACTGGAGGGAGCACATCACAGTCCCACTGCAGACCGGTAGGAGACTGGACACACTACAATACTATTGTTCCTCGTCGCAGAGTCCGTCCGTTACAATTTCAGACGGTTGTAATTTTCACATAGAAAGGTTAAAATACACCAAACTTGGTACGATTCATTTATGTTTCAAGTGACCTTTTTTGCTTGGAAAGCTCCATGTCTGACCCTCTTGACCTAATCAGCAACAAATTGTGTCAGAACACAGACAATAAGTTCACCTCACTTACTTTCAAACACAAAGACTTTGGCAAAAGTCGTGGTCGTGGTGGTGCAGCAAAATCAGACATCATTTGTTGACGTACATTTGGCTCTAAATTTCACATGTTTCAGCCAATCTGCACCAATTCGCTATGGTCGATCCTAATCCACCCCACCACAGGAATGCAGCCCAATAAAACAATGGCATAGCATTTGTTGTTGGTGGAGTCACAGCAACAAGGTGACAGACAGACACTACTGAAAACATAAATCTGTTGCCTGGAAGTTATTAGCATTAGCGTTAGCATGGCTAATTACAGAAAACAAGATAATGCAAATCTATCAATCAGTTTGTGTCAYTGTATTTTTACAAAGTTGAGACACAAATATTATCAATCATTAWTTACATCTAGGGATGCACCGATATGAAAATTTCAGCCGATATCGATATCCGATATAATTATTGCTGTTATGGCCGATAACTGATATTTACAGATATTACACAAGAACACTTGGGTCTTGTTTTTTTTTGATACCGTAAATAAACAACCAGACCTCTGACATAGCTCCCTACTTCAGTTATTCCTGGCTGTGTCAATATCACTCTCATGATCAAACAGATGCCGCTCAACCAAACATGTCACCTCCCAAACCAGAAACACAAAGCTAAAAAGTGAATAATCAATATCGGACGTTGATATCGGCCCAGTTTTACATATCGAATCGATACCGATATTCTAAAAAAATGACCATTATCTGTCAATCCCGATTTTAATGCCGATATATRGTGCATCCCTAATTACATCCATTAATTTTAACTACCTAATGTTTTCACAAGTAATTTTTTATTCACWCATTTCTTTAACACCAAGCTCTTAAAACAGTATCAGAAAATCCCCAAACGAGTTGTTCTCTTGCCCTGGGTCTCGGTGTGTGTCCATCTGTTTGCATTAGAAATCATTAGATACATTTTTTGAAACTTTCAAAGAAATCACTGGCTACAGWGTGAAAATGCTCTCCATGACAGGGGACATCAGCGATGGTTGGCGTCAAGTTCTGTCTTGTTTGTATTTTAATTTAAACTTTGTTTAAACTTTGTAAAGCTGCACATAATGTTGTTTTGACAATGGAAAATGAAAGTGTGTTAAATTAGACCTGCTACTTCCTGTCTGCAGCGACACTTAATGAGCTTTACAACCTGAACAGTAGATGGCTTGATTATGTATCTTTTAGGGGGAAAAAATAATGGTTTTTTTTTAATGAAGTGTGTTTTATCTTTCTCTGTCTCATAGATCTGCGGAAATTTCGCTCCTATAAGGGTGGTTCAGTCAGAGACCTGCTGCGTGCCATGAGAAACAAGGTAAGAGTACAATAACTTAAGAATAAATAACTTTATTGAAATGCTGTCMGAGTCATTGTTGCTTTTTCCTCAACAGAAACATCATTACAGAGAGCTGCCTGTGGAGGTGCAGGAGACTCTGGGCTCCATTCCTGATGACTTRGTCTCATACTTCACGTCCCGTTTTCCACACCTGCTCATGCACACCTACCTGGCCATGCGGACCTGTGCACCTGAGAGACCGTTTCTGCCTTATTACTCTCAGTGTGCACACCATGAGCCACAAAGACAAACCGAGCCGTGCACTCAGCACCTACCAACACACATATCAGAACCTTRGTTACAACACCAAGACCCTTCACATTCACATCAGTCTGTGCCGTCCAGCCACACACAGACCGCTGACTCAGTGCCCTCGTCACCACACGAGCCTGTTGCTTCACAGTCTCCTGTTCYGACGGTGCAGCCAGCAGAGCAAGGACCGTCCAAGCAGACTGACTGGAACAGTCTAAAGACAAACTCCATGCTGGTGTCAGAACCGCCTTCAGTTTCTCTCAGGCCATCAGATTCTGGTCAGCCTGTCGTGCCCACAGATGCTCTGAACAGTGAAACAGTGTAAACTTGAGCACAGTAAGGTGGACTCAGCACAGGTTGGGAATGTAGCCTTAAAGAGTCCTGGAGGAGTCTGTTGCTGTGAGCAGGTGAGGACCAGACCTGCAGTGTCTGGGATCTACCTCRGAGCACAGCAGCTGGATTCTAAAGTGCCTTCTGCTGACCTGGATTCAAATGATCCCCAATGTGTTTCTGCACAGAAACAACAAASGTGTTGTTGTTTTCTTTGTAGCTGGACTGAGAGGATAAAAGTTTTTATTGTTATTGTGCCCGAAAACATGTCCATAAATGTCTGATCTTTGCTCTGGGAAATGTGTGCAAATGATGTTGGAACATTTGGATAGTTTTTATTGTGCAATGTTGTGTATTTCTCAGTGAGTCTATTTGCTGCACAGAAGCTGTTTTGTATAAATTTAAATCATGAATTGCTCAATATGATGGCCAGTGTGCCTTTTTTAGTGGCTAACAAAACTCATCACTGTGCTGTCTGGGTACAGATCTTTGAAACAGACTATGCTTACCATGCTTGAATCCAGTTAATGCTGCTAAAATGTTTCTGTTTTGTAAATCAAAACTGTTGTGCCGACTCGGTAAGAGTGAACCGTTCCAAAGTCTGTTCGGAGTGACATCTGAACACAACATAATTAAATTAATTATCACGTGTGTTTTCTTATGAGTTCAGAAGTAGGGCCACAAAATGTTAATGTATAAAAAATGTTTTAATGATTATCAAAATGAAATTGATTACTTGCACATTAAATTCTATTTTGTTTTTTACTCATATTTTCCTTGTTGGTTGATCTTACTGCTTCTCATAACTGGGACGGAATCACAAACCAGTATCCAAGAAGAACTTGAATATTATATTAAAATTTATTAAATTTCATCAAGTYCTTTATAACACACACACAGCCAGGAACAAATGTCTTTTCACATTTCTTCAGCAATAACCCCTGATAAATATTCTATATTANCTTTATAACACACACACAGCCAGGAACAAATGTCTTTTCACATTTCTTCAGCAATAACCCCTGATAAATATTCTATATTAACCATTGATATAAGAACTATCATTAKCTAATTTATATAAAATAATTGCAGATGGATTTTGCTCTCATGTAGAATTTGATCTTTTAGTTGTAAAATATCTTCAGAACGCTGCTGAGTTTAACCTCCCACCATTGCAAAGAAACTAAGGTGTTGACGAGGGTAAAACACAGCCCAAAAGAGGATAAGTACATTTTTAATAGCCAATCTTTATTTTTAGCTAAATGTTTTATGACTGATTCTGTTACTAGAGCTTGTGAGGCATTTTAGGAATGTAGGATTTTTAAAAGTCTACGTCTGGCAGAAAAAATATAAACAAACTGCGTTGGTTAAAAGTAGAATAGTAACTTCTACAGTATGAGAGTTTCCTTGTGACACGCCCTATTATGCAAAGTCTTTCCTCAAAAACGAAACTTTCCGACACGCGCAGGCGCAGTGAACGCAGCTGACCGTGAAGGAAGCAGTGTTGAACGAAAGGGCGGATTTCTCTCGCTTTTTATCAAAGGTAAGAAACGGTGTATTTAACATAAAATGCGTTTCTTGTCTCTTTTTGTACCTTTTTGCACGGCTCTATAAAATCATCAAGGAGTTATAAAGGAGATGATTTGCTAGTTTAAAAATAAAACGTCGAAACAGGACTTTTTTATTTTTATTTTTTTAGGTTTTTTTAGTGATTGACGATCTATAACTTACTGGACAAGATGGCTAGCTTCTCTGACACACTGGTGCTATGCTATCTATGTATTGAATAGCGTCAACAAAATGAATGGCGTCGTTCTGACGAAAAACTAAAGATCTTATCTTGCTCGATTAAAAAAAACTGGTTCTAAATAAAGCTGAGGAAATTTTAAATGTAATGGTTTACGTAAACTGAAAATAAATGAGTAATTTAAATGGCTAACCGGTGCAGTATGAATGATATTCATATATCAATCAGACCTGAGCCTTAGGTATTTAAAATAAAATAATAAATAAAGTCATCTTTCAAAGGTGGATAGAAGGGAGGATCGTGTTTGTATACACACGTCCAAAGGCGTAACTTTAGGTCTAACATTGGGGGGGTTGTGCTCTCTGTTC